GAGTGATTTCTTGAGTGATATCCTGAGTACCACTTAGGTGGGTCATTAGGTGTGGATTAGTTCCTCACCTCAACTGAAACCAAAGTACTCTCCAAAGGTTTCAACTTTGCAGTCGCCCCGAGACGCATCCCCACGGAAAACATCATATGCGGAGTCGAAGCTAGCCTAACCAAAATCAACCCAGATGAAGCCAATAAAATCAGACTTGAAGTCACCAACATCCTCTGCTCCAGCAAACCACCCAGAAGCAATTTACACAAAGAAGAACAGAAAGCACTCACCAACCTGAGGAAAGACAACAACATAATCATTCTCCCAGCAGACAAAGGTAATGCCACTGTTGTGATGAACACATCGGACTACCAAGCAAAACTATCAAATCTACTCCAAGACCCTACCTACCAACCTATAAAAACAGATCCCACCACCTATCTGGAAAAAACCACCAAATCCAAAATAAAAGCCTCTCCTATCAGTGAAGAAATCCAGCTAAGAATCATCCCCAGAGAAAAATCATCCAGATGCCCCAAACTCTACGGCCTCCCCAAGATACACAAAGAAGGAACACCACTCAGACCAATAGTCAGCTCCATAGGCTCACCTCTACAAAATCTCGCTAAATTTCTCGCTAAGCAACTTCAGCCCTATGCAGAATCCATCTCTTCACACGTTACAAACTCCTTCCAGTTCATAGAAACAATAAAGAAGCAAAACCTACATCCCAATGACCTACTTGTGAGCTTCGATGTTGTATCTCTCTTCACACAAGTGCCCATTAATGAAGCCTTGACAGCCATTCAAAACAAATACAATCCCCCCGAATACATCCTGGACCTGACCAACCACTGCCTAACCAACACGTACTTCATCCACAATGGACAAAGATACAAACAGATAGAAGGAGCACCTATGGGATCACCACTCTCACCGGTCATCGCAAACCTGTACATGGAACACTTTGAAACCAATGCTTTAGACAAGTCAGAACACAAACCCAAACTTTGGCTCAGATATGTTGACGACACCTTTGTAATTTGGCCACACGGGAAGGAAAAACTAGATAGCTTCCTCACACATCTCAACAGCCTACACCCCAAAATACAATTCACTATGGAAATAGAAGCCAACAACCAACTTCCCTTCCTTGACGTCCTAATCTACAAAAAACCTGATGGCTCCCTAGGACACACTATCTACCGGAAAAAAACACACACCAACCGCTACTTACATGCACAATCACACCACCACCCTGCACAAATAAACTCCGTAGCCAAGACTCTCATCTCCAGAACCAAACGCCTGGCTGACAAAGACCACTTGACAACTGAGTTACAGAATCTCTCAATGTGTTAATCGCCAATGGATACCAGCAAAACAGGGTTACGAACTCAGAAACCCCAAGATACAAATCCATGGCTGGCCCTCCTTCTTATATCAAGGTCTGTAGTGCCCTTGATATAAGGAAGGAGGCCATGCCATTGTTATCCTCAGAAACCCCAAGGATAAAATCCAGTTGGAAAACCAAGGGGTCTATGAAATACCCTGCAAAGTCTGCCCAGCCACGTACATTGGACAAACAAACAGACGAATAAATGCACGTATCGCAGAACACAAGAATGCCGTCAAAAAGAAGAAAAAACTTCCTCTCTTTTCCAACACATGAAAGAAACAGGACACGAAATTAATTTTGCAGATTCCAAATTGCTCTCTAACATGGAACATCACCACAAGAGAATAATCATGGAAGCCATCGAGATAGAGAAACACCCTCACAACATGAACAAGCGTGACGACACATCCCGCCTGCCAGACATCTGGAAATTAGCCCTCCCCACAAAAACCGACACCAGATCCAGAGGCACACAGAACGCCATCACCAATCAACCACACCAGACCCAAACCCAGACCCTCTCCACAGATAAATTACAGACACCATCCAGTAGCCAAACCATGGTGGCACCTCCGGATGCTGCACCCCCCTGCAATCCCTACACAGATCTGGCTGGCACAGGACACAAAACCACAGCTCGCCCCTATACACGAAGCCAAGCCAAAGCACAACTAAATGCAGTACAGCCATCTTCTCAGAAAAACTCTTCACAAAGTTCAAGAGGTCAAGACACGAAGGCTTTAGCAACTAATCCACACCTAATGACCCACCTAAGTGGTACTCAGGATATCACTCAAGAAATCACTCAAGATATCCCTCAAGTAATTAAGGAACAAAAGAAGAAAAGGCACACTAGCCTGGGAACTTCCTCTCTGCCCAGAACATTGGAGGCTATACACCACACCCCCTCAACAGTATTTATAGGAACTCAAACACTGAGATCCTGCTCTGTTCCAGTAACAAGAAGCCGAAAGCACCAGCCTGAAGATGACGAGTGAGACCTCGTCGAAACGTCGCCTAGACACCCCAACTTTTACACGGGAAGACACCCGAGGACACCAAAACCTGCATATATATATATATATATATATATGCAGTGCACATATTTCAAAAATGCATGAGCACTCTAGGAGCTCACAAAGTCATGTTTCGCTCCACTGCAGTTGCCTTTTCATGAGGGGGGGAAAGGATCAGCCGCATGATTTGTATTTAACTATGTACCTAACAGCTGTAGATAGGCTGTGCAATGAAGTCTTGAGAGAGGAAAAATGCCCTGGATATTTTGAAGGATTTCTTCAGACTGGCACAAGAAGGAGGTTTTTGTTCCTAAGGAAGCAAGGCTTTGCATCTAACTGTTTTAAATTGTCTAAATGAGATGAAACACCTTCAGTTCAAACTATCTTCACACCTTCTTTCTACGTACAATGCATGGATGGAGACTGGAGGAGTGGGATTACACTGCTGCACCCAAATCCATCACACATAGACCCCAAAGGTCTGAAAAAGGATGCTTAACTGTGTGTAAACATATGAGGTACCTATACATGTGCACAAGTCAAACACCCCTTTCCAGACTTCACAAAGGACAGAGGGTGGGAACAGGAGGGTGCATATTATTGAGGACAGGACTAGTGGTGCAGTTCATCACCCCTCTTGTCTTCCCTTGTCCATGTAAATATTCTATATATGGAGAAGATGAAGATCAAAGACAGCAGTAGCCTGTGTGGTGCCTTCCAACTCGCATGTGCCCCAGTTGTTGGACTCCAACTCCCATCTGCCCAGGCAGCATGGCCAATGGAGAGGGGTGATTTAAGTTGTAGTCCAACGACATCTGCAGGCCACCACATTAGTGACCTGTGATCTAGGGGCTTAAGTGGTTTGCTAAAAATAAGTTAAAATGCACAAATATGCACAGAAACCCTTAGAAAAAGGCGTAACAGTCTTAAGTCAAGAGGCCAACAACTCTTATCTATACAAATGTTTCAGAACATTAGCACCCATTGGCAATGAAAAGCTTCTGTTCAGAGAGAAAGGGAAATTTCAATTTTCTTCACTAAGGCTTGTCCAAATTGCCATTCTTGGTGCCAGCATGGTTCTCTCCAGAACACCTGTTCCAAATAGTCTTTGTCAGTTTGTGATTTTCAGATGACACAAGAAGCATACGCCAAGCATAAGTCCTCCTGATGCCACTAGGCAGTCCTACAATGAAGTACAAATCCCCATTGCCACTGCAGCTCAGAAAACACACCTCTCACTTAGCAGCTGAATGAGATAGAATCATAGAATCATAGAGTTGGAAGAGACCACAAGGGCCATCGAGTCCAACCCCCTGCCAAGCAGGAATGCTTTGAAATCAGAGCTGGACACCCAAAAAATAATACAAGGGATTTTTGTTTGATTATCTGTTGATCATTACTGTATATCCCCTTGGAGATGGTTATGATTTTAAATGATAACTTGCTCACCTGGGATGGGATGGTCTGCAGTTTTATATGAATAATTCTCACTGAAATTAGTGGGACTTGCCTCTGAGTAGAGATTCATAGGATTGGGCTATTACTTACTTTAGAAAATACCAGCGAAGGTCTGTCATTATGGGTGGTGTCTCTGTGTTGCTTATTAAGTCTCTGATATCATGTATGGGGACCCTAGATACAAGGGATGACAGTCAGGTTCTGCCCTTACTGCACTCCATAAATATAGAAGAAAGGAAAAAGATGTCCCAGAGAATGGGGAAGTGGGTAAACCTATTTCCTGCTCCTAATGGCTAAAGCCTGTTTCTGTTTGCATAACCCACTCTGAATTCTGTTTATTTTAATCACACAAGAGTGTGGCAGAAGTTTAGAAACTGGCTTTACTTTTCAATACAGAAAGGCAAAAGAGGCATCCCGTCCCCTCATTTGCATCTCTGGAAACTGTGCCCCAGTTTCTCTTGCAGATGATGTGTCTCTGTTAAGAAGCTGCTACTCAGCAAACTAAATTATATTTGGCTTGATTTGAATGACGGTTATGGTCCCCACAGGTTGGGAGTGATGATTATGTTCTCTCCAAAGACAGATGACATTTTAAATCCATCATTAGCTCAGTATTTCATTCAGAAGGCAAATGAATTTTTTTCTTTTCTTTTTTCTTTAAAAAAATCTGTTCTAGATTTTTCTTCTAGCCATAGATTATTACTTTGGGCACATCTTCAACTAAGCATTTTTAAATGACAAATCAAGAAACCAATTAAGACATATTTAGTCTTCGGTGCTGCACCCACTTACGCACACTTAAATCCTATTGATTGCAGTAGAACCTAAATGCATGTAACTGGTCAGGGGATTTCAGTCATAAACATTGGTGTGCGTTGTGTGTGTGTTTAATGCTAGAGGCTTTCCAGCTGGCTGATTACAAACCTCAAAGACCAGTAATTTTTCTTCCCAGAAGAGCCTCAGTTCTCATTTGTGTGCTCCATTTATCCTGCCAATATATTCACTATGTGGCGATGACATATACCGGTAATCCTTTTTTTTAAAGCATATGAATGAAAGCTGCATTGTATGTCTCTCTGAATCTTGGCAGGTCTACAGCAGCATATCCTTACCATGTTCTCTGTTTCTATTTCCAGGAGAGCCTTCAAGATGGTCTTCATCACACTGTGACTGCTGCTGTAAAAATGGCAAAGGCGACAAAGAAGGAGAAAGTGGAACCTCCTGCAATGAACTCTCCACCTCAAGCTGCGACAGCCAGTCAGAAGCCAGCTCCCCTCAAGAGACTGTCATCTGTGGCCCGGTCACCCGCCAGTCCAATATACAGACTCTGGATAGGCCAGTCAAGAAAGGCCCGGTGCAGCTACTTCAGCAGTCCGAAATCCGGAGGAAAAGTGACCTGCTCCGAACTCTAACTTCCGGCTCTAGGGAATCCAACTCTAGTAAAAAAAAATCGGCGAAAGAAAAGCTCTCGATTGAGGAAGAGTTAGAAAAATGCATCCAGGATTTCCTCAAGATCAAAATCCCAGACAGGTTTCCAGAAAGGAAGCACCCTTGGCAATCTGAACTGTTACGAAAGTATCGTCTATAGGAGCGGGGTTAGGGCAAGGAAAATCACCTTATTGCCATTTACAGAATGAGATCCTACATGATAAAAGAAATAAAATAATAATGGTAATAATTTGTTAGATCACACACACAAAAACGACGATGACCCACAATCCATCACTATAGTACAGCCTAATTTGCCTATTTCACCAAAGCATTCCTAATTACACTATAACAATATCCTCCCTGTGATAGGAGGATTAACAAGGCATTCATCATGTGTTAACCTCCTGACATATGCCATATGCTTGCAGTGCCACACGCACAGCTAAGGAAACATGTGCAGTATGGTTGTGGGTTGGCACCACCAACGACGAAAATTCTCATATGGTCGGGCAGAGTTTTATGGTGGGCGGTGATTTTCTAAGCTGCATGCCTTCTTGAGTTCACCTTTAATGTCATTTATTTGGAGAGAGAAGCTGGGTCAGGCAGATGTCAATGGTCTTGAAAGGAAGACGTGATGTCTTGCCGGTTTACACCAGGAGAGAGTGTATATATGTCTGTGTGCCACATAAAAGCTTTCTTCATTTCCTCCTTTTAACTGTGTGTTACTCTCAAAAAGGAACTACTAGAGCTTACTGGATGACCTATGTCCTCTTCCCCACCCCTGTAGAATTATGTACAGAATAAGTATTTGCCCCCTTCTTTTCTTGGAGAGGAGGGTCAACTCTTGATATCAGCGGTAGATCTGAATTTGCTCTCTTTGCACACCATGAATGTTTATGAGCCACAGACTGCACTCAGCTTAGCAGGAACATCTGACAAGCCAATGGCTGCAATCCAGTAGGGAGGTACGTGCGGGGTCCAAGTGGTTGTGGGCTGTCACACTTCAGATTTTGCTCAGTTTCTCTTTCAGCAATTTTCATCCCAATCCCTTAAACTTGGAGTGTTTAAAAAGTAGCCCCGTGGATTCAGGAGGGAGAGCTGCTGGAATTAAAACTGATAGAACTCTAGTGTGCATGGAGAAATGGCAGACTTCTGCATTGTGAATTGTAAGTCCTGCCAATGTTTTTTTGTTTTTGTTTTTACTGGCCCTGCCTTCCAAAGAGACTTTATGTGCATGCAGAAATCAAGCAGGAAATCCTTTCCCATCATGTTATCTCTACGCCAGAGAATATTTCTCTCTCCTTTTTTTTTACATACCAGTGATGGCACAGGGGCAGTAAAATAAGTAACCAAATGGTAACACTAATTGTACCTAGTTGTTGGACTCTTTCTGCAGCCTTCATTTCTTAACTTGAGGAATTGGCAAGTGGCGGGGGTGGGGAGAGAGATTAGGTTCAGTTCTAGTTGTGTACAAAATGGTCTTTTGACCATCTTGATACCATTTTCCTGGCACCTCTGTTAATATGTTAGGCGATTTTGTCTACCACTCTGCTCTTTCGTCCTTTCTCATGCTATAGAGCTCTCATCCCACCCCACAACAACAAATGTGTTTAGGAGATTAAGGATGAAAAGGAAAGGAACCAGTTGAAAGAGGAGATGCTGGTGATTATTCCTCTTCTGGAGGAAGAATACGGGCAGGTCAAGCCGCTGAGTTGTTGATTTATGTGGGCTTGCCAAGCGCTGCTGCCAATAATGTATTTGGCCCAAATAAATGGGGGAGAGCAGGCTCCCATCCCCTTTTGACACAGATGCAATTAGAAGAAATTATAGGCCTAACAAGATGCATTTTGCACTCCGGTTTGCAGGAAATGGATTGTTCAAGTGACAGGCAACATTCCGCTTCTAGCTGCATGCATTTGAAAATGAAATTAAAAATTGAAAAGTATCCAAATGCACTCAGCTAATGGGGATTCATGGGGGGGGGGAGCAAGGGCCTTCTCAGAACACAAGAAATTCCCTTTGAGGGGAAGAGCTTCACTTACTTATGAGCATCTTTTTTACCTATAGCATTAGACCAAAAGGGAGGCAGGGTCTAAAGAAGCTTGTGTGGGAACGTGTGAAGAAAAAAGTGAGAAGTGCAAACACAAAGCACTTGAGATACAATAGAAACTTGCCTCCTTTAAGCAGCCGCCCAGCCCTTCAGACAAATCCTCTTTGTCTGTTTTGTAGACACAGGTTTATTCCAATTATGAGCACCCTTATAAAGAAGCAGGTTCTGCTGTAATAAACAAGGCTTAACCTCCCAGTATAGATGATGGTGATGATTGATGAGCTCAAGATAACATGGTTCTTTCCCCTACATCCTATTTATTATCAACAACCCCATGAGGTAGATGAGGCTGCAAGTTAGCCAAGTGAGCTTCAGGCTGAGTGGAGGTACGAACCTGACTCTTTCAGCCCAACACTCCAGAGCAGCACATGTCGTGAGGTTCCTGCTTACCTGGATGGGGATAATGTGGACTGGCAGGAAGGTCCCCTATGGGAGCAGCAGACTGCGGTCCTGCTTCTGCACCTTTGCACCTCCCTGCAGTGCTGCCCAACCCTAGACCCATCCAATTAAGCAGCAGTACAACAACCACTGTTGGGATGGTGCAACTTCCATGATTATTGCCACATCTTAGTTGTTAGCTCTCAGGGTGCTGAGGAGTCAGAGGAAACATTCTGAAGCAATAGAAGGGAAATATTAGGAAGTTCAGTATGAAATGGTGCTGAAAGCATGTACCCTACCAGTACTTTCTGGAAGTAAGAACTGTTTGACTTCCTTGGGAAGTGGGGGACTCTCCTTCATTATAGGTGTTTAAGCAGAGGTTGGATGGCCATCTGTAATAATAATAATAATAATAATAATAATAATAATAATAATAATAATAATAATTTATTATTTATACCCCGCCCATCTGGCTGGGCCTCCCCAGCCACTCTGGACGGCTTCCAACAAAATATTAAAATACAGTAATGCATCAAACAGTAAAAGCTTCCCTAAACAGGGCTGCCTTCAGATGTCTTCTAAAAGTCTGGTAGTTGTTGTTTTCTTTGACATCTGGTGGGAGGGTGTTCCACAGGGCAGGTGCCACTACTGAGAAGGCTCTCTGCCTGGTTCCCTGTAACTTGGCTTCTCACAGTGAGGGAACCGCCAGAAGGCCCTCGGTGCTGGACCTCAGTGTCCAGGTAGAACGATGGGGGTGGAGACGCTCCTTTAGATATACTGGGCCAAGGCCATTTAGGGCTTTAAAGGTCAGCACCAAGACTTTGAATTGTGCTTGGAAACGTACTGGGAACCAATGCAGGTCTTTCAAGACTGGTGTTATGTGGTCTTGGCGGCCGCTCCCAGTCACCAGTCTAGCTGCCGCATTCTGGATTAGTTGTAGTTTCTGGGTCACCTTCAAAGGATGCTTTAGCTGAGATTCCTGGATTGCAGGGGGCTGGACTAGATGACTCTTGGGGTCCCTCTTCCAACTCTGCAATTCTATGATTTTATGATACTAAAGGCTTTTAAAAACTTTGACCAGGACTGAATTCTGTGGCTTTCAAAAGCACTGGTGGGAACCAATAAGCATCAGTCATTAGGAATGAGAGAAATCCACTCTGTAGCTTCTCAGGAGCACTTTCATCTCCATCTACTTTTTGGGCTTTCAGGGTGAGCCCTGGCACTGAAAATATTGACCAGGGCTGAGCCCTGCCACAAATCAAACCAGTCTCTTTCTCGCTGTGATTGAGCTGAGGTAGTATGTGTAGTAATTGAGTTGATGTTTAGCATTAGTGACATTTTTAGCAGCCTGTTAAAGAAACCATTCGCACCACAGAACCTGGATTTACATTGATTTAGTTAATTGGAGGTTAATTAGAGTAAACTGACTTAAATCCAAGCACTGTGTAGTAACTTTTTTCTTCTTACAGCAGATCAGCTTGGAAAGCCTGGGTTTTTGCACAGGGTCTCTCAGCAGCACCTCCCAGCCCAGACAAATGTGCTGCGTGGCATGATGGGTATAGTGCCAGCTTAGACTGAAGAGTGTTTGCTTTCAGCAGATCTGAAGCCTAGTCTCCTGGTTTTATGGCTGCCATTTTCTCTCACAATTTTGCAACTAAATTATTTATGGAGAAAGGTAGTCGCAAATAAATCTGCAGAGATCATTAGCCAGGCCTAAATTTGCTTTTCAATGAAGTCTTAACAGCTCTTATTGAGTTCAGGTGTAGTGCAGGGATGAAGGAATCTGTCAGCTTTGGTTCCCCATCTCCCCAGTCCTAAGTTCAATTCTCTACATTTCCACATCAATTTGTTCTTTAAAAAGAAAAAAAAACCCTCATGAAAATCTGTCCACATTTTAATGGAAAATTTCCCTAATATACACATTTTTTTTGCATGTGGTTTCATCTAATTTAATGCATTTCCCCATGTCATTTTCACTAATACACATCAGCAGAAACAACTGCTGCTTACTGGAAGTGAGAGTGGCAAAGTCAGCACTGTGCAAACACGTCGGAGGAGCCAGTTTCTGTACTTTGTGTATTTTTATTCAGATGCAAAATGGATTTTGGTGCTGAGAAATAGGGAGAGAATAGAACGATGAAGCCACCTGGAGCCCTTGTTAGCAGAGTCGGTGTCAGGAGCTGTCATGGTAGGGAATCTGCAGGAGTCCCTCTGATGAGAGCCCCCTGGACCTGCTAGATGAAGTGAGAGAGAGCTTCCCCAGCCACTCTGGGTGGCTTCCAACAAAATATTAAAATACAGTAATGAATCAAACATTAAAAGCTTCCCTAAAGTCCCAGGAACAAACCAAGAGCAACTCCAGTCTCAAACTGAGATTTGATGTCTACGTATATGAATGTATTTCTTATTCGCCTTTATTTGAGCTTGAAAGATTATTAAGGCAGTTTCTCCCGCCAATTAATCATGGTTGCCAGGACATGGAGTCAAAGTAGCAAACAGCATCATCTTAATAACCTATGCTCAAGCCCACAGTGGCGGGAGTGAATAGGAATAAGCTCCCACACCTTTCCTGATCAACTTCTTCCATGATTTCATTGACCACTTAAGTCAGGGGTGGGGAATTTGCAGACTTGGGGATCCATGTGGCCTTCAGCCTATTTTTTTTTACAGGAATTGAGAGGGGGCAGGGGAAAAGGAGTTTGGCTGAAAGAGAGAATAGGGTAAAGGGGGAACTCCCACTTTTGGCTCAGACCCCGTCTACTTTTGCTTCTGGTGCCACCAGTCACTGGCATGTGGCTAAGAGGAGCCAGTGGCCCATCTAGTCCAGGATCCTGTTCTCTCACAGTGGCCAACCAGATGTCTGTGGGAAGCCTGCAAGCTGGACATGAGCGCAGCAGGACTCTGCCCACCTGTGATTCCCAGCAACTGGTATTCACAGCCATACTGCCTCTGACAGGAGAGGTAGAACATAGGCATCCTGGCTAGTAGCCATTGAGAGCCACTAGCGCCTGAGGTAATGTAGCCCTCAACAGAAAAAAAGGTTCTCCAATCCTGACTTGATTATTCCACTTTGACCCTTTCCCAGGTATAGAAATGTAATTAATAATAATAATAATAATAATAATAATAATAATAATTCACCTTTTGATTTATAATGTACTTTTCAGAAAACTGATTCCCCTCCCAACTGAACTTGTCCATAGACATAGTCCATAGGTATTTTCCCTCTTGCCTTCTGGTTCTTTTTTGCATTTATATTTCTTCTGTCTTTCCTGGATACTTCCTCCGGAGTCTAAGCTGGCTCCAGAAAAAAAAAGCTATCTAAGTTAGTCTGGGGGTTCTGCTATGTCTCCATGAACAGCAGCATGAAAACATATCAGAAAGGCACAGAATCTGAGACAGGTTTTGGGTTTTGTTTTGTCTTGTCCCCCCTCCCCCCATCAAGACTTGTGAAACAGATTCTTTGCCCAGCCAGGTCTGCAGAACAGTAGAAAACAAGAAATTAGTCTTTTCCATTATTATTATTATAGGCTCTTGATAAGAATCAGTCATTCCCCAGGATCATCATGTGCTCACAGTTCTTCTCACTGCAAATCACAAAGAAGACAGCCTAGCATTAATTCATCTTAATAGCAAATTATAGAGAAAAATGAATGTGGGGTTCATTCGCCCGATAGCACTTCAGCAGGGATTTATCTTGCAGTTTACATGCTGGATTGTCAATGAGGCACAGGCTGAAACTCAGCATGGCTGACACTCTGCAGTCTCAAATGCAGTCAGCTCCCGCCCCCCTCTATATATAAGTTTATTGGATATTGTAGCACAAACCCTTTGGCCAGCAAGGAAGAAGGAGTAGAATGCGTAGAATATTTTCTTTTCCTCTGAGGTTGAATAGAACTGGGTTTCATTTTACACAAGCTGGTTCAGTGATTAATATCTGCAGGGAGGGGGGAAATCAGACCATACGAAATGTGCCAAAATAGATACAATTTATGTGGCCTTTCCCCCCAGTTTTAGATGAAATAGTTGTTGTTCTTTTCCAGTGCCTGCCCCAAGAGTCTTAAAATTTAATGTCCAATATCCAATGTGTGTATGCATATATATATCTAGCAGTAGCAAACCTATATGCATGCAGCCCCCATTACAGATGTACACATAGAGCTCTTCAGTGGACAGAATAGAAGAAAGTGAATGCAATATTCACATTTTTTTTTTAAAAAAGGTAAATGATTGCAGGCAAAAGAGCTCTGTATGGGCAGCGGAACTCTGGCACCTGTAAGAAACTCAAATTCTTTATATGAATTGTAATATGGACATGACAAACTCACAGTCTCACTATGAGTTTTAAAGTGTTTATAAAACCTGTGATAAAACACTGAGAATGAAAGGCTTCTTTGAAAAGAAATTGGAGAGGGGGTGGGCAGGAGAATGGAGTTTACTTAACTGGGATAATAGCCTAAAGCTTTAATAACTACCTTGGTCCCCGAGGATGGTGTGGCAGGGCATGATTTCTAACCTCTGCCAGACGAGAAGAGTCAGGACATGATCCAGCTAATTGTATCGGCTGTTTCTTTAATTATTATTATTGTTTATATTATCAAAAAGAGTCTCAGTTAAATTCTGAATGAAACTTATTCACTTCATAAAAACCAAGGATGGTATTTCCAAACCCCTAGCAGTGCATTGGCACTAATGTACCCTTAAACGCTCTGGAGAGGAGGAAAGATGCTCAGGGCTACTATTACCTACAATAGTGGTGTCTTCAGAAGTTTTGCTATTCTTTGCTTAGGAATAAAGAAACACAGGGAGGTATTCAGTGATGTTTCCTCTGCTGATGGAAGGCATTCATTCACAGCACAAGGAGAAAGGCATTTTTTGGATATTCCTTCTCCTCCCTTCAGCCCCCATCACTATATGTTCAGATATATTGTGTGCTTGCAGATAGTGATGAGGAGATATCCAGTTTGTTTCACATGTTAATGGGAACCTACCTAATTCACACTTCCCAAAACAATACACAAATTGAAATGCAGCTATTGTTTGAAGGAAACACTTCTCCAAATTTTGTGATCCAGTTTTCCAGCTGGGAAATGTGTACAAAAACTCACATATTAGAGAAAGGGTGTGCAAGATGCACATGTTAGTGAGCGCAACATCCAAAAATGTGATGTATTGAGGGAAATTGCTTGTAATGTGTGTGTGTGTGTGTGTGTGTGTTAGACAAAAAGGCTTGAAAAAATGTTTCTATCAGCAGAAATATGCACTAAAATTTCTGACAAATGCTTGTGAGGATTGTTTTAAAACAAACAAATAAATCACAGACTGATGCAGAAATGTGGTGAACTGATGTTGAGACTGGAAGAATTAGAAACTGAG